AATCTGGATATTGCACCCTTCTTATGATTGGATTTTGCAACCATAGTCACTAATGGAGTATTAATAACATCAAGATTTCGAGAACGTCTCTGAGATTCCAGAGCATGCCTTAGTTGTAAGTATTTAAAAAATTGAGCATTGGGTAATTGAAAATCTTCCTTCAACCTTTCAAAGGATTCCAAATTGCCCTCTTCAAATAACTGATATACAAATTGCAGTCCTCTATACCTCCAACTCTCAAAGTCTACCAATTTCTGCAATTCTGGCAGAAAAGAATTAAACCATATCGGAGTAACCGAGGTAATACCTTCATATTTCATTATTGATTTCATCAATTGACAGACTTTAGCCATCATAGACAATGTAGGATATTCTGAACAAGACGAGATAATACCTGCTTCTAACTGAGAGAGAAGAGGGTAATTAGATGATAAAAACAACAAAATTGCTTGAACTGGGTCTTCCCCGCTAATATTACCCCATCCTAACATATGTTGTAGCTGTGATGCTACAAAATATAATCTTGGGTGAGGTATAGCTACACCCCCATTCTCCTTGGACTTCTGTAACGTATTCAGTTTTATTCGAGAGTGTTTTTTCTTTCAAATTAGTTCCCTAAAGAGAGTATCTATTTTAGCAAACCATTTCAAAGAGTTATGCAAAATAATTGTGGCGCCCACACCATTTTGATCAAATTTGCCCTCCCTATAACAGTAAGGGGAAGTTTACACCAACTTGTACTTTTTTGCTTAAACCTTAACAGTAGGGGTTTAATATTAAGAATTGGATAGTCTGTAATTCTTGCCGAGATCTCCATTCCCAAATATTTAAAAGTATCTACTATCTGTATTTGAGATGCAGAGGATGGTATTGGCTCCAAAATGGGATCTAATGGCAAGATTAGACACTTATCCCAGTTAATTCTAAGCCCTGAAAACCTGCCATAATATATAATTAAAGACATTAAAGCTGATAATGACTTTCCTGAGTCTCCCAAAAAGAAGAGTACATCGTCTGCATAAAGATTGATTTTTTCTTCCTTATCTCCTCTTCTAAATCCCACTATATCTCTATTTTGTCTTATTGCAATTGCCATGGGCTCTATTGCTAAAGCAAAAAGCAATGGTGACAGTGGACATCCCTGCCGAGTTCCCCTACTTAGGGTAAATGACCCAGAAATACAGTTATTAAGGCAAATACATGCCTTGGGTACAGCATACAGTAATTTAACCCATTTAATAAAGGAGGGGCCCAAACCAAAGGCTTCTAACACCGACCATAAGTATGGCCACTCCACTCTGTCAAATGCCTTAACTGCATCCAATGCTAGAATAATCCTATTACCTGTGTTGTCTATTGGAATAAATGTCTAATATTTACTGCAGTAGATCTAGTTGGAATAAATCCATACTGGTCTACATGTACAATTTTATGTATAATTTTAGATAAACGATTGGCCAACATTTTAGCCAATAGTTTTATTTACAAATTAAGTAATGAAATTGGTCGATAAGATTCTACGTTTAATTTATCTTTACCTGGTTTAGGCAGCACAATAATCATTGCTTCTACCATAGAGGTGGGCAAAGAGCCTTCTTCAAACGCACGATTAAATACTGCTAAAAGCTCAGGTACAATAACTTGACCATAGTCTTTATAAATTTCAGAAGGTAATCCATCTGCACCTGGAGCTTTGTTATTTGAGGTGGATATTAACGCTCTTTGTAACTCTTCTAGGGTAAAAGGGGAATTTAACTTGTCTTTAGCCTCTTCGGTTAAACAAGGGAATTTCAATAAACCAATAAACTCCTGGAGTAGCTCCGGTGGATATGAGGCTTCAGATGTATATAAATGTCTATAAAATGTACTAAATGAGCCAACAATATTTTCCACTTCTCCTGTTAATATACCGTCTGCTTGGCGGATCTGTACAATATTTCTAGAATCCCTTTGTGAGCTTGCTATAACTGCAAGGTAATGTCCAATACTCTCACCCTCCTCAAAATATCTTTGTGCTGAAGAAATGCATTTTGACTCCGCCCTAGACATTGAGACATTTTTATATAACCCCTGTGCATCCTTCCATTTCCGAAAATTATCACGAGTAGGGTATGCAACATATAATTCCTCTGCTACTTTCACATCTGCCCGCATCGAAGCCTCCCATTTAGCAGAAGAGTTTTTTTTAAATAGAAATATCCTTAACAATCAGACCTCGAAGGTATGCCTTCATAGCGTCCCATACCATAGCAGGATGAGCAGTATTTAAATTCCTCTGGAAAAACTAAATAAGTTTGGAAGACATATCAGACTTCGATATTAATTGAATCCAGTATGAATTTGCCTTCCAAGGGGGTCTAGGAAGTAAAAGATTATAATTAATTAAGATTTTTAATGGGGAGTGATCTGAAATTCCCCTAGAATCGTATTGTGAATTTTTAACAAATGGTATCATCCCTTCTGAACAAAGGCCAATAGCTATACGAGAAAAACCTGGTATGTTGACGAACAGCAAGAGTACTGACGAGTCTTTGGGTGCTGCATATGCCATATATCAACTAGTCCCATTTCCTTAACATATCTAGCAAAGGCAGTCTCAGATCCCTCTACTTTAGTGTTATTTGGGTTAAAACGATCCCATGCAGAGTGCATAACATTATTAAAATCTCCTATAACTATATATGGTATCCCAGGATACAAGACCAAAAATGAAAAGAAGCAACAAAGTACTTCATGCGAATATGGTGGGGGCACATAAACATTGGCCAGAATACATTGTACTCCAGCGATATTACATACTAAAAAAATGTAACACCCTTGAGAATCCACCTTAACTTGTCTACAAGAAAATGACACTGCCGATGATATTAAAATACTAACCCCCCTAGAATATGAAGAATGCAATGAGTGAAAGGCATGTTTATATGTGAGTTTTGAAAGATAAGAAACATTTTCCTTAGTAAGGTGTGTTTCCTGTAAATGGACCACTGGGGTTTGGTATTGTAACAAAGTAGTGAACATAGCCCGTCTCTTAACAGGATCCACCAACCCTCTCACATTCCACGAAATAAGATCAAATTTACCCATGATTTCTATATATATATATAAAAAGGAAAAATGTGTATTATTGGCACCCTCAATAAATGTTTTACCCAAATAACATGCCATTGCAACAAGAGAGGAGGTATTTCGCAGTAGAGTACACACACACACGAAAAAAAAACCCGACCCCCCCCCATACATACAGTTTAACAAAACCAGATAAGACATTAAACAAAACAAAAAATCCACTCGAGAAAACACACAAGGCGCATTTCCCTTACTTGGCTGCTGAGCACTGTCTTCTAAGCAACTAACTAAAAAGACCAATCTTCCTGCAATCAAGATACTAAGGAAAGCATATATTTCTGTGCCACATATTCAATTAAGTCTACTAAAAATAATGTATGTTTTATCGCTCTGACATATAGATCTTTCTTTATGATCAAGATACTACTGCTTCAGGATTATCAAAAAACTGCATTACACCTGCTGCAGTCACTCTCAGTCTTGCTGGATATAGCATAGCATATGGTAGACATAGATTGCGTAGTCTGTGCTTAACATCCAGATATTTACTCCGTTGCTTTTGCACCTCCGCTGAAAAGTCCGGAAAAAAAGATATCCTAGATCCTTCATACATAATTTCTCATTTCAATCGAGCTTTAACTAGAATATTATCACGATCTTTATCATGAAGCTGTTTCACAATAAGGGGTCTTGGAAACCTCCCGGATGGCATTGATCTTGTAGGTATGCGATGAGCCCTCTCCACTGAAAAAAATGGGGAAAAGGACTCCTTAACAAAAATATCTACCAGCCATTGCTCAATAAATGTACCAGAGTCCTTTCCTTCTACCCTCTCTGGGAGACCAAGTATACGAATATTATTTCTGCGAAATCTATTTTCCATGTCTTCCAGACGTTTTAAATGCATTGCCACAGCTGACGTCATTATTATGATCTCTCTCCTCATAGGAGGAATATAATTTTCCAAGGAGTTAACTCTTTCCTCCACCTCCAGCATTCTCCCTTTCATTTCCTGCATAGCTTGCCGCAAGCAATTAAAATCAATTTGTATATTTTTAACTTGACCAGATAAACTGTTCAGGGAGACATTGCAGGCTTGTATCGCTATAAATATGTCTCGAAGGGATGGCTTAGATTCTCCCATCGAATCCAACTATAGAGGCTGGGGGGAGGACTCTTGGTTGGAACCCCTGATGACATCAGGGGTCTCCCCACAACCTGTGCTTCCACCTTCTCCCCCTGTTGTGTCTGAGCAGCTTCACACATCCCCCTAGACTGTCTCTGCCCTTGACAGGCTGCTTAATAGTGTCCTTACCCGGTGTTCGGGCAAACTTCTCCAGCTTACTAGCTGCCTCCTTCTGTTTCTTCTGCATTGAGCGTTGTGCTAGGGAGCTAGCTCCGCCTTGGACACGTCGATTGGAGGATGAGGAAGCCATTCCGTCTTTCTTCCCCCTCGTCATTCTAAATTTGCGGCTCCGAAGTCTTCCAACCCAGCATCCACTTCCCCTTGCAGAGCCCTCGAGGCAGAGCGGTTGCAGTAGTTATTTGATTTCATGCCTTCCGTGCACTATCTCACTGTCTCCATACTCGCGGGGAAAAGACTGGCCTGTGGCCGCTACGTTTGGTGCCAAGCCACGCCCCCTTGAACGTCCGGCATCCCCCCCAAAGTTGGTTTCTAACCTTCACTGGCTCACTTTTTAGGCAGAACTACTATAAAGAATGAAACAAATGATTAGTGAAATCAGGAAAGTGCCGTGGAGTCACACTGCATTTTGCAGAAACTCTTATCATCCATCCTTGACTAAATTAGTTATGGATGGAGATGTGTTAAGCTATTTTTATTATTGTATGTTGAATTGAATCTGTTGATTGAAATGTTTGGAAAACATGACTACATGCAATTATTTTATTTCTTTATTTGATATCACAAGTATGTGAAGCTCGGAATCTTATTCCTATGGATCCCAATGGCTTGTCAGACCCGTATGTGAAGCTGAAGCTCATACCAGACCCAAAGAACATGACTAAACAGAAAACCAAGACCGTCAAGTCTACACTTAACCCAATTTGGAATGAAGCCTTTATCTTGTAAGTAAATTGTTCTTCCATTTTTATTCTTTAAGGGAACAATAATCTTTTTTATATTTTTGGTACATACTGTAAGCAATCAGCCTAATACAAATAATCTCATCAATGTTCAATAATTTCTTAAAAACCTTGTTGCTAGTTTATAAATACATATATACATAGACGGCAGATATATTTTTGTACAGTATGTATGCTTTTCTTCCTGGTTAGTTCGATGTTGCCCTGCTGATTATCATATTTCACTGCCAGCTTGTCAGACTGGGTCTGTCTGTTTGAAAACAATTGACTCAAATCTCTAATGAAGTGAAACACCCACAGTCCTCCTGGTAGCCAGAAACCATGTGATCTTTTTCCTAGGTTTTAGGAGACATTAGGAAGCTTAGGAACATATCTTTGTTCCCAGCGAAAAAGGTAGATTTTTTATCTTAACATAATCTAATCTGTGTCCAATTGACCATACAATGTGAGGGTGAATTTTATTAGTAGGTCCATCGTAGTAAATCAAGAGCTGACACAGGTGGACAATTATGTTTTGGGACCAAATTGTAAACACTGGAGCAAGAAAATTGGAGCCATTGCTCAAAGAAAGTGGTTGGATTCTAAGATCAATTTGACTGGGAGAGGTTAGCAATAGAAAGAAAGCTAATGTTTAATGAACAGTTACTATAATAACTGAAACGCAGTCACTAGCTGCAGCCCGGCTTGTTTTCACCTGCTCAGCAAATTTCTAGAGTCAGCATTAACATACTTCTCTCCTTCCTTTTCTAACTGTTATGAATACAAGGCTCCTTTATTACACAGGGATCAATGAGTAATATCTTTGTACGTCTCTTCATCTCTTTTTGGATGCATAAGTAAAGTGGAAAAGTGGCACAGACACACTAGCATAACATTCAAGTGTACAGACATTAACAAGGTAATTTAATATAGAGGAGTTTGGAGTAGGGAGGATGTGCAAAGTAAAGCAACAACCAGTTTAATATTAGATTTGTGTAACTATAAAGAGGTTTTTGATTTGGCTGGGTATTACCGCAGCATATAATTGTTGTTATTTTTAATCAGCTTTTACTTCTGGAGCAATCTTTTCAGAAAGAAATGTTGGTAAATGAGGAAATAGCAAAGACAAGTTAGTGGAAGAATAGGTGTCCAAACTATGCAGACAGATGAATGCAACTATGGGGTAGTCTTACCTAATCCTTGCCCGAGTAGCTAATATATACAAATGCTGTATAAAAAGCTTGCTGCACACACTGTCCTTATAGAAACTGAAGCCTATGTGTGCAAGTCGTTTTAAAATAAATATGTTTGTTTTTTTGCATATAATTTTATTTTATTGAAAAAGTTTACGAGTACAAACCCGTCATACGGATACAAAACAGTTGTATAGCAGAAGAAATAAAAATATATGTTTTACACAGTTGCCTGGGTTGTCTGTTCAATCAAATGTTCTGTTGTGTCTTGGTATAAATTAGTGTTGATGCAGTACAATACAGTATCGGTGTTCTAATACATTTCTTACGAGATTATTGTCAGAAATTATTTCGTGGGATTTTTCATGTGTCTTCAGTAAAACCATATACACATACATTTAAAATTCTATCAACTGATTAAGTTTATTTACACATATTATAAAAATGTCTATTCATAAACAACACATGTAAATTATAACATCTTTTGGAGATGGTACTTACAAACCCACATATTAGATAAAGGTACCCTAAACCAGACAATTATTGCAGCAAATGTTCAGTCTGCTTCTTCAGACCATAGTATCAGGGTATATATCGTCTCTAAAAACTTTTTTTATGTAAAGAGGAAAAAGGACAGATGTTCCTCGCTTACCGACTTACCTGTTTTGCGACCACTCGCACTTACGACGGACCGCCAATCGACCTCCGACCTTGCGTGTCAACGGCAGTGCGCTGTGTCGCCGACGGAAGTGGTGTCCTCCGATCTTTACTGCGGGTCCCGGTAAGTATTTTCATCGGTACTGTACATGGACAACGCTATACAGTACTGTACCGTTTAGCGACCTGGTCGTAGGAATGAAACTCGGTTGTTAAGTGAGGAATACCTGTACTGTATATTAGAACCATTATACAAAAGCATTGAAATATATTTGGTATCATCCATTTTTCCAAACACTTACTTAGAGGAAACAAGCGAGTCTGGGTCATATTGCGCCAAACACATGCACAAGAGCACCCATCCCCCTCCAGGTTTCAGACTGGGACATCCTGGTATCAAGTGGGAGGAATTCTATCAGATAATATACAAATGATTAATGATTTATTAAACCAAGCCAAGATAGTGTATCATTGTATCTTATCCAAGGTTCTAATGTAGAACCATGGACTTGAGTATTATATGTTATATATCATACATTTTTTAGTGAGAAATACGAAAATGGAAAACATTTCTACATTTGTTTCAAGAAATCCTACCAATATCACAATGTGACATGGCAGGGATTTCCTGGTAGTCTGCAATAAAAAAGTAAAACCATACAATGTACTATATAACTAAACATTTTAGTACGGTATAGCACCAGTTGTTTAGGTCTTTGCATTTTAAAGTAATGTAACTATAAACAAATATAAAACATACCACATTAAAATGATAAATTAGGTAATATAGACATAAAGGTTGGGGTTTTTTTTATTGGTGGTCTTCTTTAGTTAGCAAGTCTGTATTTCAGCAGACATAAAGAATGTGGGGGGTTGAAGGAGTTAAAGCCCAAAGTTTTGGAAGTTTTTTTTTTCTGGAATAGTCAGGCTTTAAAAAAACAATAATGTGTTTTTGTGTTTACTTATTTTTACTGGAGAGCGGTACAAAATACAGTTAGTCATGTGACAGTAAGTCAGTAAGACAGTTAGTCATAAACAGTAATACATGTGGGCATCCTTTTTTTTTTTTTTTTACTGTAACATTTTGTTTCAGATAGTTAAGATGTCCTGTGCTAGTAGCATGCTGGATATCTGGACTGCTGCTCAACACATCTCATGACCCCTGACTAGCCTTGCTGATTGGAGTACTAGTGTAGGGGGCAGTGGCAGACCTAATAACCAAAGGGCCCTGGTGCAAGATTGTATCGGGGGGGCGCGGGAGTGTTTCACACTGGCCCTCGCCCCCCAGCGGTCTCTAATGTTGCATTAGTGTGCTGGACTTACCTGAGACCCTGCAGAGCACACCATAGATCCTGCATAGCCCACCCGAGACTCTCTACGGTGGGCTCTGCATGGTCCCAGGTGGGCTGGTCTGGTCGTCGGGATGCCGCCCCGGTACAGTTGATACCCATGTAAGAGGCCCCCCAGACCCCTCACATGGGTACCGGCCATACCCCCCTGATGGCGGTGTTCTATCAAAGGTTGTGATTACGTTAGAATGTGTGACCGGTGACGTGGTCACACGTTTTAACGTAATCCCGCCCAGTTTTCCGGCGGTGGAAAGTTTGACCGCCAATAGGTGAAGCATTCCAGCGCTTTCCCAGCTGTTCCAGGGCAGATCGGCATCACAAATCGCATGTGCAGGAGAAGCGATCTGCCCTGAAACAGCTGATTGGACCTGAAATGTCACTTCTCTCCGACTGCAATCTCACATTCAGGCAATCTCGCAATCCCCCGCACTCACAAAGTCAGATAGAAGTGACATTTCAGGACCGGTCAGCTGTTTCAGGTCAGATCCAGTGGTGTATTTAGGTTTTGTGCTGCCCTAGGCAAGACGAAATTCGGCACCCCCCATCTAAATTCGTCCAACCCCTGCCTGTTCAAGACATTTTGCGTAACCTGTCAAGTTGCTGAATGCAGCTTCTTACAGGTTGCGCTATTAGGCCTCATTCACACAGTGTGATTGTACGCAGCAGCCTGTTCTTCTCTATGGGAGGATGCGGCTGTACTCTGCACTACGCTCACCCGCCTTGCACGTACATGAAGGTGTCCGTACTCGTACACAGACAGGTGTCCAAGCACGGACACCCACATGGATGTGCAGTTCGGGTGTGCATACGGCCGCATCCTTCCATAGAGAAGAACAGGCTGCTGCGTACAATCACACGCAACTCCTGTCCTTCCCGAGAACGGCCCGTTACGACCGTGCATGCCACATGGATCTGTATGGGCCGACACTTAGATGTGTGAATGAGGCCTTAGCGTTGCAGGGAAGCAAGGGTCTGAGGTGGGCTGTAAAGGATCTCTGGTTAGCTCTGCAGTGTCTCAGGCAGAGATTGCCAAAGACCCCGCACATCCCACCGTAGACCTTGCACAGCACTCCTGAGTCCTGAAAACCCCACCAGAGACCCCTCCAGAGCCCACCATAGACCTTGCACAGCCCACCATAGACCCTGCACAGAAACTCAAGTGGGCTGTGCAGGATCTATTATGGGCTGTACAAGGTCCCTTTCCCTGCACACATGCTGCTCATCTTACCTGCAGCTCCCCAGCCTGCTTCCAGGATATGCCTCTTCTTCCTGCATCTTCGTCCGGCCGCCGAAGCTTCTTCCTCCAGCCACCCGCAGCCTCCGC